TACAAACACTTTTTTTTATTGGTAGTTTAATTTCTTACTATTTCATTAATCATGCTCAAAATACTTCAAAGGAGTAGGATTCTCTTATTTCCAAATTTTCTTTTTCTTTAGTCACCTTCTATTTGAACAGTCGCAATTAAGCTACGTCAACCTCTTATGTTGACTTCTTTATAAAGAGAAAAAAATAAGGAAAAAGATGAGAGAGAAGGGAAGGGGAGAAGAGAGGATCCTACTTCACTTCAAATTATTTAAAAGGGAGTTGCTAGCGAGACCCGCCCAAAAATCAACTCTGCAAAGACTCGTTCGTCACTTAGCTTTTCAACCACCATTGAATTCCAACTAAGGCTGATGTCTTAAATAAAACAAAAAAAAAAAACAAATTGTTCATCAATCCTGCAAGAATTTTGTACTTCAAATTATTAAAACGTTTGTTTCTGCACTCAAAAATTGAGGCATCAAAAGAACCTATTATAACTTTCAAGTAATATTTGGCTTCCATGAACAATAGATTGATGAAACTGCGATGCTACCAATTTATAACTTTAAGGTTGCGTTTGATATGTGAAAAGAAATAATTTTCCATGTATTTTTTTAGGAGAAGGGAAATGCAAAGTCTTTTGTTATGTTTGGTTACATTAGCAATGTGACCTTTTTGGGATATAATGTGCACTTCTAATTGTCAACGAGGATATATTTATCATAAAATTATATCAATACCAACGGGTGGAGGAATTCACTTTCCCCCTAATTTCTCATGGGCCAGGAAATTATTTTCAAGCCCGGACTTGCCAAATATGAGAAAACCTTTCTCATTCCCGATCATACCAAACGCAACCGAAGAGTTGTTTTTGTCAAATTCTAAATATGTGGACCAAATTGCTATATGACCCAAACCACTGGTTCCAAAATGTAATTAACTAAAAAAATTAATGCTGCACACCTTTTTTGTGTTTTTGACAAACATGTTCAAACTTTGCCTTTGACAAGCATGTTCAAACCTTGTTTTTGTGAACAAGCTTAAACGAATATCCTTTGGTGATTTTACATGCACTTTATAACATATGTATTTTTTATGTCGTGTTTATGTAAGAAGAATGAAATGAGAGGACTGAGAATTGCACTTATTTTTAGTAATTCAAGTGTTTATCAAAACTTGGGGAAGAAAAATATATACGGGACCCACTTAAAATGGGGAATCATACTCTTTAAACTTCCGAAATTGGATTCTTGATATTGAGATAGTATTTGGATTTCTCGAAATCAAGCCCATCAGGAATCCAATTTTGTACCAATATTAGCCCATGGTTTTTGCTAATTCCAAAACACACCTTGCAGTTTTACTTGCCCAACTCCAACGAACAGTCCTATAGCCTCCAACAGACCCATATCTCCTTCCCAATTTCCGTTGGAGAAGCTTCAGCATGAAGCAATTATGATTCTACCTCATTCTAACTCCTCCTCAATGCAACTGCTCTCGTTCTGATTATAAATTAGTAGACGAGCCATCAATGTCACTGAAAACTTTGAGAACCATTAGGATGACATAGTCCACAGCATTAGTTTCTATATTGGCTTCTCGGAAGATATGCATGAACAATAGTTATGAAAACTTACTGTTGACTTAGTTGATACATTGAGAAAGCTTGCTCTTGAGGAAGTTGTGCTTTTACCGTTAAACACGATCAAGACCCAGCCTTGATGCCCCAAAAAAAAAACATGTTTAAGGCCTCTTACAAAACTAGAAAAATATCCTGAGCTTGTGACAAAACCATCAAAACATGTTCAAACTTGCACTACTTATGTGAAGGAGATGTTGGGAAATCTTTAAGGGAAGGGATCCCTATTTTTTTTTTATATATAAAAATGAGGATTAGTTGAGGGGTCCACACTACATCGAATTTTAACGATTCGAACTGTCTATTTTTCAAGTTGCACCTCATAGATCATTCTTGCAAAATATTAGACAAATCGGAAATGTTTAAGACATCTAATTGGATTCAAAGAAATTAACGAATACTTTTTTATATAAGAAACATTGAAACTTTATCTTGATAATTAAATAGGCAAAGAGTTTCAGATTGAATTGAATTTTTGCAAGGATGATCTATGAATTGAAACTTACAAAATAGACGTTTGAATTGTTGAAATTCGATACAGAGTGAATTCCACACCTAATCCTCATTAAAATAAATAAATAAATAAATAAGGATCCCTTTGCATAAAGGGTCTGGGAGATGTTGATCCATGTTCAAACAATTAGTATAATTTATGGGGCCTAATTGATATCCATTAACAATGATCATATGAGGCTTTAAATATTTTAGCCCACCATAAACTCTGTAAATATTTAACACCTACTTGATTGGGGCTGGCTTCAAGAAACATCTGCTCCACTTTTGTGGCAATTCTTATATGAAATATGATTAATATATACATATTTTTTGTTTTTGTTTTTGTATTTAATTAAGATGACATATTTGTTCTCAACTTTCACGTCTCTGTTATAAATTAAATAGTCTATCTGTCTGAACGTATCATTTCACAGTACTTATTTCATTCTTATCTTGAGTTTGAATGCTAACAAGACATATATCAACCGTCAACTCAAAAAGGGTCATCTCTAAAAATTCACCCACAAATGACCCAAGTTGATCAAAAGGGTCATTCTCTAAATTCACCTACAAATGACCCAAATTGATTACATTTATTCCAAAATATCTTCATTATTCTAATCCTTCTCATTGATCCTAGAATTTAATTAAGGAGAAAAATATGTTAATCTCATCTTATGCTTGCATAAGCTGTATTAAAGTTTGATCATGGATATAATCTCTTAAACTAATTTGCGAAATCATGAAGCAATTTCGTTGACTTTGATTTGAGAAAAGTACATGGTTGACTACTTTCAATAATTGTGTGCATAAACATCTTTTGATTGTCTCACTTGGTTGCACAATTTGAGAGCAAAAGAGTTTCTTTGAATATTAAAATTGGAGGCTTTCTGCCACTGAACAGCTATGCACACTATAACATTCAATTTAGATATCATGACTCTAAAAGTATTGAAATTAATATTATATAGTATGGAGTTTATCAGATCACCACGTTGGTTTGGAAGTGCTTATGTAAGAATCAATTTTTACTCACAAACTATTCTTGATTTTTATTGGAACCACAACAAATTTTTATCAACGGAAATGGTTTGTGCACACATTTTTATTTTGGTGCACAACTTTTTTTTATAAGTACAACAGAAAAGTTGTCCTTTTGTGATCGAAAAATCATGATTCGAGTCGTCAAAACATCTTCTTTACAAGTAAGAGTAAGACATAGTATGATAAACGACGTTGCTCATAAGCACATGTAGTTATCAAAAAACAAGCGATTTAGTTTCTCCAAAAAAAAGGCAAACCTTAACCTATTTCCTATAATTGCAAAGAGAGTTAATTTTCACACACCTATTTTAATCTCAAATAATTCTTTTTATTTTTAATTAGTTAACCAATAAACTTAACCAGAAAAATGTGTGTTTATTGTTTCTTAATCTGAACTCTTGCCACCCACTTGGTGATTTGTCTTTTTTTTTTTTTTTTTGGTCAAGGGGAAGATTTTATTTCAACTAAAACACAAACTTACAAACAGACAAAGGCCCAACAACACCTATAAACAACCAAAAAGGGCCTAAACAGAAAGAAAAAACAACAGAAACAGATAATAAGCACCCACTGCCTTCTCCACCGACGGTCCAAGGAATTGCCAACCAGCCGATTCTCCAACCACCATTGATCATCTGCTTCACTAACTTCTCCTGCGCACAGCCATAAGTTAAGGGTAATCAGCATGCAAACGAAAGAGTCCAATCACTAGGTGGAAGCTCAGAACAAGTCCCGAGCAACAATGTCGCAAGTGGTAGACACAAAGGAGAACGTTGTGGTGTGGAAAACACCTGACCCAGTGTAAGCGTCAGAACTCTACACACGAACTCGACAGAGGACATGGCTGAAAAATGAAGCAAGGAAGAACCAAGAAGAAGAAAACCCACAGAGTTGAAGGAATTGGATAGGCCGAATTGAAAATTAAGGAGAACCAACAGTAGATGCAAAGAGAAAATAAGAAGAAAAGGGAGAAGAGAACAGAGCACCTGACCCCAGCTGAAGCTAGGACTGGTACCACCGAAAAGTTCGGAAGAAGGTCTCACAAAAGCACTCTCACAGCTGAGAGAAAGAAACTCTCGCAGAGGAGAGACTATGAAATTGCAATTTATTTTCCCACCCGAAAAGTGTTTTTGAGCGGTCACTTGGTGATTTGTTTTGTTTGCCCTTTACAAGACATAAAGGACAAAGAGGAAGAAGACATTGGGCCACCATTGCAAATCTTCTCTTATCACCTTCCACCACAACTTGGAACAAATTAAAAAAAAAAAAAAAAAATTAAACCTACTCAAAGTCAATCTATAAACAAAATCCCAACACACATCCAGCCCAGAAACCTTGTCATCTCAATACTCTAATACCCAAAAATTATACAAAAAAACTCACAACCCCACCCTTTCGGTGCACTTTAAGGCCATTTTAACAGAGAGAATCCTCTTCGAATTTTCTTTGAGGTTATTAGAGGATTATTTAATCGTATTCGTTCATCATAAATTATATAATTAGTTTTTATTAGGTATCATTTGTGTTCAATTTTAAATAAAATTTTAAAATAATTTCTAACCATACAATGTATGATGAATGAACAGAATTAGAGAATTCTCGGAATCCTCACAAAATGGATCCAGAGAGAATCCTCATTCGTTTAACATTCCCATCACATATTTAAACAATTTTTTTCCTAAATTATCCGCATGTTTTGGATCCCTAATCTCACATATTCCAGCATATACTTTGGGTCTTTTTAGTCTTTCGACCTCTTCTGCAAAAACCAATTTCTCACTTTTTAAATATTATTCTTTTTTAGTTTTGAATTTTGGGACTTGTATATAAAGGGAACCCTAGTGCCAGTTCATATCATCACCTCCAGAATCAGATTCTAAAGTGTTCTCTCTCTCTCTCTCTAAAATTTCAATCTTTGGGTGATCTGCAAGTAAAACTTATCAGATGGCATCTCATGGGATTCTGTTGTCTTCACTTCTTCTGCTCTCCTGCTTATCCCAAACTTCCTATGGGATTGTCCTCTTTTCTTCTCTCAAGGATAGTCTCTTTGTTACTGCTTCACACACAGAAAACCAGGGTAAATAGTATAGATATTTTTCTTGAAAATTTACCAAGTTTCCAGTCCCATATCTTGTTTCTTCAATTGGGTTTCTATATATTTTCATTGCAAGTCATGAATTTTACAGTTTCCAAATTAGGAAAGGTAAACAAAATTCGACAGGAATATGATTTCCGCACTCTTTCTATCTTCTGCACTCCATCCCTCTCCTCTCCTCTTCGATTTATTCAATCAAAAGAGAATCAAAACATGAAATAAGAGGAGTGCAGAAGATAAAAACACCGAGTGTGAAAATTATTATCCATACTAAAAGTCCCCCAACTTTCTAGTCCAACCTCCTTATTTTGCAACTGGGTTTTTTATATTAAATTTCTGGTCCAAAACACTTTTTTTTCTCTTTTTCATTAGGGTTTCTTTATATTCTCATTGCAATTCATGAATACTAAAATGATTTTTGCACTTTTTCATCCACACTTGAAAAGAAAACGATAGCGTGAAAATCACTTCTGAAAATCTCCAACTTTTTAATCCATACTCCTAATTCCGCAAATTTTTCTCATTTTTCCTAAATTTGCAAATTTTACACTTCCCAAAGCATGCGAAGATAAACAAATAGCCAAATACACAAAAAATCTCCTACGTTCCTCCCCAAAAGCCTAACTTCCCAACCGGTTTTTCTTTATATTTTAATTTTAATTAGCAAAATAAATCCAATATTAATCTTAATCCATGATTGTTTTGCAGTTATGAAAGCAGGGATAGACAAGCTCACCGTTTCATGGGGGTTAAACCAGAGCTACGAAGCCGGCACCGACTCAACCTTCAAGACCATCAAGGTCAAGTTATGCTACGCGCCGGTGAGCCAAGTCGACCGCGGGTGGAGGAAGACCGTCGACAACCTCGCCAAGGACAAGACATGCCTGTTCAAGATCGTCGAAAGGTCGTACACCAGCAAGTCCAACGACACCGTCGAGTGGACCATCGAGCGCGACGTGCCGGGCGCCACGTACTTCGTACGCGCCTACGCTTGCAACGCCGCGGGTCAGGAGGTGGCGTATGGTCAGACTACGAACGCCAAAAAGACCGCCAACTTGTTTGTGGTGGAGGGAATCAGCGGCCGCCACGTGTCGCTTGACATTGCATCGGTTGTCTTCAGTGTTTTCTCGGTTTTGTCCCTGGCTGGTTTCTTTATTGCAGAGAAGAGGAGGGCAAAGTCGTCATAAAAGTAAAATATGCACTGGTCATGTCGTCATAAGAGTAAACGCTTAAGGATGGGGCAGGGCCAGCTTTGAGGGTGTGCTAACGGTGCCACGGACCCTTAAAGTTTTCTTTACATGTACAAGATATTACTAAATTACTCTTCCAACGCTAGTAGTTTGCGTTTTCTATCTTTTTCGTGCATGTAACAAGTCCTTTTTTTTTTTACAAGAATTGATTGATGTCATGAATGCTATTATTGATCTTTGACATGTGTTAATCATATAGTGAGATTCTCATGCATCAACAGTTAAAAAATTATGAACCATCAAAATTGTAATCAGTTTAGTTGTTCGCCACTGGTTTGCGAAGTGTGCAAGATTGGACGTGCCTCTCAACCTGCATCTTCCCTGTCTACTTGGAATGTACGAACATATTGGAAATTAGTATGAAACTATTTAGTCAAAGGTCAGCTGGTAGAAATTTGTCTTAAAGAGCATTTCCCTTTACACCCGAGGGACGCGAGGGATGAGAATGAGGTCCTATGTTCGATTTACGTCTCCCACAACATAGCTCGTATCAAAGTTACAGCAACAGTGTAGCTGGTGCTCGGGGAACAGACCAAGTTTTTGCAGAACAAAAATGCAAAGCAACAACACATGCAATGACAGTCAAACAGTGAATTTGTATATTGCGTTCCCATGGGAGTACAGATTACAGAACATGAGAAGCTTGCCTACTCTCCCAAATCAATGCAGAGGGAAATAATTAACAAGCCCCTTTGAGCTTCTGGCGTAACTATTATCGATAATCATACATTTCCAAATAACGTACACAAAGTTCAAAAGAATTAGTTACGAACTTCTTGATGCCGTTTTTCTTGTAAGTGTGCTTGAGGATTGAATAGCATGTCTGTGCTCGCCATTCGGTCAGTACCATTGAGTGAAAGCTTATCATCATAAACATCTATGTACCCATAAGCATCTGTTCCGGGAGGGCACTCAAGGGCAGCTTCAAGAACTCTATGGTGTATTCCATGGGAATCAACCGCGTGGCCACCTTTGTGGTCGTGACCAGCTAGGCAAACCTTCACGCAGTTGTACCGGTGTATCACACTCATGACTTCATCGTAGTTCCACAAAAGTGCTTCTTTGCTTGATGCCCCGGGATCTAAGGGCAGATGGCAACAAATCACTACTTTCTGTTGCAAACTTGTTGCTTCCTGAAGGATGCCGTCTAACCATTCTAATTGTTCCTTTCCAACAGCTCCGTTGAACATAAGGAACCTTCTCTCGAGGCCCTCCAGGCCAGACGGACTGTTCTTATCTGAATTTGGATTTTTCTCTTGAAGGAATTTCAAAGCCTCAATTGTACATGGATGATCTTGAGGCCAGCCAATAGCACTGATATCATAGCCATCCAAAACAACAAATCTGAATTCTGGGGCTGGTGAAAAGTCGTAGTAGGCACGACCATCGACACTTGGAATGTTCAATATCGGTAGTAATTTGTTGCGGGGAAGATTGTACAGGCAATGATTACCAATCATATGATAGACGGGGCCATTAAAATCCTCAAATCCGTCAACAACTCTTCTTACAGCATTCAAGGATTGGTCTTTTGGGCAAAAACCATCAACAATGTCCCCAAAATTGATCACAAATTTATGCTTCTTCTGATCATTCCATCTTTGGACAGCCCTTTGCAATACAGCAATGCTATGACGATAGTATCGTGGAACACCAAGGAAAGAGCGGCCATCAGGAATATCAGCATACTGAACGTCAGAAATTACCCCAAACGAAAATAGAGGTTGATTCCCCCGCACACTTGTTAAGCCATTTGTGCTGCCCATCATGTAAGCTCGTATCACAATCCTATTAGACAGAATGAACAAATTATTGAAGCTCGATGCATTACAAACACATTGGATGTGCAATAAAAATCTAAAGTAGATTAGCTGTTATCCTCTGCCACACTGACTAAATCCATAATCAACTATGATAACCATAAATTGTTAGCAGAAGTAACGTATACGTGAAACATCTATGCAAGTTGCGAGTCCAAAACATGACCTCTCCATCATCTACATAATCCGAAATTTTTTTCATATATCTGGAAACAATTTCCAGATCAGTTTATTTGCACGCATATTCACTCAATGAGAATGAGGATGCAACTGAAAAGCTAAGAGTTCCATCTTGTCTAAACTTGTAAGTTGCAAGCTATGTTGCACCAAAACTTCAAATTTAGACAAGGGTGAGTCTCGGATACCTAGATCCCGACAATACCTTCCCATATCCTCCTCTATTTTGTTATGTTAGAAATTTGCCGTATCAGCGTACTACCCCTACCCTGAAGTATCAACACGTACATCAAATGGGTGTAGCGGAGATGAGGATGCTTCGTTGGATGTGTGGGCACACGAAAAAGGATAAGATTAGGAATGAGGATATCCGAGGTAAAGTAAGAGTAGCCGAAATTGAAAGAAAGATGAGAGAAAATCAGTTACGGTGGTTTGGACATGTGCAAAGAAGGCCAACTGATGTTCCGGTTAGAAGATACAACTACGGAACAGAGGTCTAGGGCCGAAGGGGTAGAGGAAGACCTAGGAAAACTTTGGAAGAGACTCTAAGAAAAGACTTAGAGTACTTGGATCTAACGGAGGACATAACATAGAACCGAGCGCAATGACGTTCCAAGATTCATATAGCCGATCCCACCTAGTGGTTATCCGTATCCATATCCGTGCAACATAGGTTGCAAGTAATTAGTTACCAAAGTTTGATACTGAATTTGTAATTGGTAACACTAATCAACCGAAAGGGTACAAATCCTATATTTTGTATCTTTGAAAAATCTTTCAAGCATATGACCTAAACCCACACTGCATTTAACCTCAGAATCTGTCTTTGAATGCAAAATTCAGTTTCTGGGTTATTAAAATTCCAGAATTTGACTGAACCAATGACAAATTTCACAGCTTCAGAAACAAACCAATCATAATTCAGACCCAAAATTACATAACAAATCAGAAGAACAAAAAACAATTAACGTTACACATTGCCAGCAGCTGCAACCCAAAAAAATAATTAAAAAACCATAATTCCGAATTAAACTAATCGTAATTGGGTCGACTTTTAAATGAATTTTAAATTTTAATCGCCTAATCCTCAAAATTAAATGGTACATTAGATTGTTAAAGAAATTTGAACAACGGGTTTTCTAAATTACAACAAAAATTTCACAAGAAAAGAAGAAAACGGGGAAGATTAACGTACCAGGCGGGAGATTCTGGAGACTGAAAGGACAGACGAGGAAGATAACCCAGTACGACGCCGTCTTATATGCAAAGACGAGGAAGTTGGAATCGGATTCGGATTTGGCTTTTGTTGGGTTACGCAAATGTGCACCCCACTTTCTTCTCTTCACACTCAATCTTCAACCAAAAGTCTTTTTTTTTTTTTTTTTCCTTTTAATTAAAAAAATAAAAAATAAATACTGAAATTATGTATAAACCCCTCGAATGAATACAAGTTTTGTATTGGGCATGAAGGAACCAAGACAGCACAACACGGCAAACATACGAGAAATATTTTATTATGACGAGATTACGAGTGGTATATTACATATTTTTATGTAAATGGTAGAAAATTTTATTTTTTAAGTTATTAACTTTTTAACATATATATCTTATTATTTTATATAATAACACATAATCTACTACTTCATGTGCCGATCACATTAAAAAAAAATCTCTCCAAACAAACGGCTTGCGCGTGAAAATAGTCTTTTTGATTGCTGGTGGAATTACCAGATTTGCCATTTTTCCATCTCACCACACCACCACCGACGTAGGGAAAATCACGTGGTTTATGTGGGCCCCACATTGCTCTTGTCGTTGGAGGACGACGGAGTTACATTCGGTACGTTACTGTGACATTCTAAACCGACAACGTCAATTGCTGTCTTCAATTGTGTTTTTGTGGATAGGAAACCGTGTCCCTTATTTTATTTTACTGTTTTCAATGATTATTTTGAACAACAATTTACTTCACTTTCTTCACACAAAATTACTGAACTTTTAGATGTACATATCGTGATGAATAAAACAAAAGAAAATTATGACAGGCACGAAAGCTAATTCAAAATTTAATTGCTAGAAAAGTGTAATGTTAATCTTGCACACAATTTTTTGTTAAATTGATATCTACACACAAAAATAAAATAAAAACATGTGGGACACTACCAACGTGATTGGTAAAAAAAAGCGACAAGTTCCACGCGCAAGAGTGATCAAGTGAAATGATTAACGTAGATAAATACATTTAAGTCACGCGTAACGGTAGTATCGCGCTGTTATTAAAATAAAATTCTTTCACATGCTCAAAAGCGCATGTAAAAAAACTAGTGTATTTTAACTTCAAAAGTGATTTCAACATTATAAACATAAATAAACAGAAGTATGTATGATTAAAAAAGATGCAAATATCATTTTCATTTGAACGTTGCCATTTTTTTTTCATTGCTGATCCACTCAATGAGTCAACAGTTGTAAGGTATCGAACTGAGTATATATGCGTACGTTTTGTCGTCTACGTTAGTTGAGCTTGAAATTTCTCGCCAAACAGTAATACTAGTGGTAACTTTTTCATTAAATTAGTTGTTGAAATTTTTTTATTATAATGTTTAATTTTCAAGTGTGAATGGAAAATTTTCTAGTTGTCACCGTTTCATTGAGACGGTTTTGTCGTTTGAAATTGGTGTCAACCTTTCTGAAGAGGTGGGATCATCCATCGTAGAGGATGCAATGCATGGTTTTGTTGTTTAAAATTACGGTTGGTGTCAACCTTTCTGAAGAGGTTGGTTCACCTTATTATTATGAAAACTTTAACGAAAAGTTTCTGATACTGTTCATTTTAACAAAAAATTACATTTTTATACTAAAATGTCAATCTTGGTACTATTCATTTCACTCTTTATTTTGCTCTTATTGTTAAAACTCAAAGTTTTCAAGTCATTTTCATTAATTTTCTTTATTATTATAACTTACCTTTTGATTAGTTGTATACCTTAATAATAAAAAGGTGCCGGTTTGACACATAATTTATGAAGGGGTGACACGAGTTTTATATAAACTCAAGCACACTCCAGTCTTAAATAATGAAGTTTTCATAGAACTAGAGTTAATTTTTATTCTTGAGAAATATAGTTTTTCCATTATGTTTTTTTTTTTCATTCATTATTTCTTTGTTAAATTCTAAGTTGTGTCTTGAGAGTACAAAATATATAAAGTTCGCTAGAGTTCGAAGATTGTGGTGCTTCAACTTCGGATTATGTATTGTTGAGTCTTGAGAGACGTACGTCTCCCACAAGCACAAAAGTATAGGTGAAATTCTATCTTTGAGACATTGCATTTGTGCAAGCTTCAATCTCCAGGTTTGTTAGTATAGATGACAAATTAACCCATTAAACCTAATAACCGCGGATAATCGCCCGAAAGTGGCGGATTTCGGGATGAAAACTCAAGTATTTTCTGGATATGAAGAAAACTGTCAATATTTTTTGATAATTTGTTTTGTCTTTCTTCTGTAGTGGTTGTTGTATTTGCTTTTGTCATCCCTTCTCTTTATTTCGTGGGACCAATTTGTCTTAATTTGCTATCATATTTGGCTTATCATGAATACCTCTAGAAAGTATCTAAAGTGTTGTATGTTTTAGATGAGTTGATGTGGATATTCCATGACATAATTAGGATCTATTAAATTATAATCTGTCCGTTGAACTGATAATTTTATTGCATTGACGAGGATGCATTTATATAACTGTTGACTGATGAGAATCCGTTATCCGATGGGTATAGTTATGGATAATCCCTGATGATAAATTTGTGGTGATGAATATGATTAATTTTCGTGATTATGGAGATGGATATGACTTTTCCGTCCTCAAATCAAACAGTTGACATCCTTATGTTGTTAGTATTTCTTACTTTCTCTCTAATTGTTTATATTAATCTCATACACAATTGATGTTGTAATTTTTTTAATAATTAGTACTGTTGTTTATATTAATTTTATACACAATTGATGTTGTTATTTTTTTTTTAATTTTATAATTAGTACTGTTGAATTTCTCTATTATTTATATTCATATTTCCTAATATTGTTCCCCCTAATATGGTTCCAACATTAGTTAGTTGTCGATACTCTCTTAGATTTTGAACAATTCGATCACAGACAAAAAGCAAAAGGTAACTCATTCAAATCATCAAAAAATAAAGTTTATACATCATCAAAACGTAATTTAACTACAAAGTGAAATAGCTCCTTACGCGCAAACAGTCAAATTTTCAAATTTTCTTAATATTATAAAAAAAAAACATCCACGAACAAATTTGCCTCCATCTACACGATTTAGCCTAACGACATGATTCAAATTTAGTCCACCTCAACATAGGAACTGGTTAATTTGCAATTTTCTGTATCATCGAGAGATATCAAAACAGCATTTTCCTGTCCAAGCACAACATCGAGACCTTTTCCATACTTTGGCTACCTTTTGGAACATCTTGGAGATATTCAATCGGTTTCGCTCTATGCGCTTAAGCTTCTTGTTGCCTCTCGTCACAGAAACAATGCTTTTTACGTAAACAACAGCTTGAATAAGTACTTTATCGACGTTAAACCCGTCAATAGGAAGGTATTTGAGCTTTCGTGTGCCTAGGTTGTAGGAGACAACACGTCCAGTGATGGTTGCCATAAGAAGCTCGTTGCTCTTCCAAAATGTCAACAGACACTCAAATCTCGGTACAGATTTGATCGTTAAGAGTTTCGCACTCCATCTACTTTATTTTTCACCTGGTCACTAGAGTTGTCCATCACCCATATATCAAATACATACCCATACCTTCCACTATCTAATTCCATCTGATATGAAAACAGCGAGACGGATTCATTCCACACTGCAAGGCTGTTGTAGCATCCACATCTCTCAAAGCTTTCATATGGAGCCGGTATACTATGAAACGCCTCCTCACCCATGTTGAACGACAGGACGGCATCCCTACCTTGTATATCTGTAGAACACCAGTAAAAAAAAATCCCTTGAAGTAAACATAACAAGGAAAATGCCAAAAGGAAACAAGCGCTATCACACTCGATCTCTCCCCATGAGTCAGCACCTAAAGTGTATATACCTCTTCTCTAAGATTACCAGGCCCCGGAAATTCCCTATCAATTCTTACAACCTTGTAAGTTTTAGCTTTGAAATTGTACCCAAACCCCACACCTACATTATGGAGATTTACTACTCGAACATGATCTTTGTGCTGGGGAGGGCGACATAGGCAAGACTCAGGAAGCAGCTCGGATTCCTTGATTGCGGGATTGAATAAAACAATGTCGTCGTTGTTGGGATAGGACTCATCATAAAAGGAAAAGTTTAGACAAATAATCCCATCACAATGACCTACAATGTCCGGAGGAGTGTAATATGGACCAGCGAACGAAGGATGCACAACCCTAAGATCCTCAACCTTATTACTGTCATGAAAGCCGTTAGTGACGTCGTTACAAACCTTGAGAAACGACAATAGAACGTTCTTTTTTCTGATAACCCTCGGCATTGTTAACAGTGGTGTCATTGAAGACACTACGTCTGACAACAACGCTGGTGGAAGACTCGGAATCGGAATTGGAAAGGTGCTTGGCCACAAAGGTAGGGTTACTGGTCAGATTGCGCCATGACTTACGGACGCATTTGAATCGCATCAAAGATTTAGGTGGCAATCTTGACGGGATTTCCACCACCACCACATCTTCTGATAACTTGCTCGAATGGAAGATATTGTGGTGGTTGGAATCTTGACAAGATTGCCACCTAAATCTTTGATGCGATTCAAATGCGTCCGTAAGTCATGGCGAATCTTTGATGCGATTCAAAGAAGGGTCTTACTATGAACGTGAGTTCTGTCTATTTGTTGTGAGACCCTTCTTTTTATTTTTAGGTATTAATTGTAGTGAAACAGGTTGAAACATCATGCTGAATGTACGGAGGAAACATTCGATTTGCTCTCATGAAAGCCTGAGCAATGAGACTTAGAACATATAAGACACTTCTTTGGTCCGGATTCTGACGTTTCTTTTCCCCATCATAGGAACCTTGGTGTCGTCTCCAAATTTGACAGTAGTTTTAAAGGTCTAATCCAAAGTGGAAAAAATGGATTTTTCTCCACACATGTGATTACTGTATCCCGTGTCTAAGTACCACACATTTTTGCAAGATTCTTCCATGGTTTGACAGACCATGAGAAGAGTGGCTTCATCCTGTTTCTCTGCAAACTTATCAATTTCTTCCTTGTCATCAGGTAAATTAGCACGGCACTCATATTTGTAATGACCCTACCTGTGATTATGGTGGCATCTATAATTGATTTGCCCCTTGTATAATCTCAAAGTCTCGATGGAGAGCCTGCAACAGGGAGCGTTTCACCTTTCCGGAGCCCTGATACTTCTTTTTCAAGGAATCCCAGATTTGCTTGGACGTATGTTTCTCAAGAACGATCTCCGCAATTGCTCGGTCGTTCGCTTGAAACAGATATTCTTCATCCTTCAACCTTTGTTCATCAACTCTTTTTCTGCACCTGCGTCAGTGCTTCTTCACCTTCAGGTACGACAATTTCCATTTCCACAAGATCCCTAAACTCCTCAGACCGCAGGAAATTCTTCGTCAACATACTCCAATGATTGTAGTGACTATCGAAGCGAGAAATTACCGTCTACACGTAATTCTCAAGAACAGACGCCATTGATCGCGGCTGCAAGTAAGAAGGCTGCTGCTTCTTTCTTAGGCCCCAGTGGGGGCTCTGATGCCAGATGTTGAAAACTAAAGACTAGAATTGAAAGCTTGAGAGTATGAAAATTGGTTGAACTCAAGAATTTAATCATTGACTGAAACTTCAACATAAATACACGTAGAAATAACAACAATAGCTAAAAACATGGAACAACTAATCCCATGATCGACATACTTCAAAATAAACGAGATACTCCTAATCTGTAGGCAATCCGAAGTTCCAAACTGAGAAGAATAGGACTTCCACTATTTATTCGCAGATAATTAAACATCAATAAAATTAATTCCTATTAATTCTGGTTCATGTAGACCTTTCTCCTTTTCTGGCTATGTTTTTCGAACATCTCGGAGAGAACCAATCGGTTTAGCTCTATGCCCTTAAGCTTCTTGTTGTCCCTCTTCACAGAAACAATGCTCACTGCATAAACAATAGCTTGATTATATGCTCGATGTTCATTGTGATGAATCAGAAGATTGTTGAGCTTTCGTGTGACTAGGTTGTAGGAGACAATACGTCTATTAGCGGCTGCCATAATAAGCTCGTCCCTCTTCCAAAATGCCAACGGAAACTCAATACTTGGTACATCTTTGATCGTTAACCATTTGCTCCAACTTCTTCTAGAGTCATCCATCACCCACATATCGAAGACATTATCCCGGTTATGGATTTTTCCAGGTAAGAAAAAAGAGCGACGGATTCATTCCACAATGCAAGTCTACTATATCTTCCCTCTCTCTCTCAAGGGTACTATATGGATCTGGTATTTCATTCCACAATGCATGTCAAAGGAAAGGATGATACTCTTAGTCCATGGTACTTCAGCAGAACACCAGTAAAAAAAAATCCCTTGAAGTAGACATAAGTGGAATGGATCAGCAAGGCATCACAATCGATATCACACTCGATCTCTCTCCATGAATGAGCACCTAAGGTGTATACCTCTACTCTAGGTTTATAAGAACAATAATGCTATTATTACCACAATTTTATACCATATTTCTTTACCATCTTAGGTGGCAAATGAGTTGGACAGTCACATCATCTAAATTAATTAGCATTTAATCAAAATGTTAATCAATAATTAATAAAAATATTGTTAATTAAATGATGATTGTGGTATACGAGGAGTCTCATTCTTACACCTAGATTATTTAAGTATTTTAATTAATAAAAAGATTGAAATTAAATGACGTAACTTGTTCAACTCATCTTCCACCTAAGATGGTAAAAAAATGTGGTATAAAATTGTGGTAAGAATATCATTACTCTTTAAATTGACTTAAATCACTTTTGTGAGAGTGCTTTTGGAACTAATCCTCAATAAAAATTCTGTGAATTCCCAAAAACCACTTAAATGCTTTCCGCAGGAATGCAAGTGCTTATGGAACCAAAAAAAATTCATCAAAAACACTTTCAGTCATTTCAAAATCACTTTTGAACGAGTCCTAGATCAGATTTAAAGCATAACTTTTTGTTGTAGGATCATTCTCTTCGAGATCAAGGCCAAAATTTGAGTCATGTTGTCTACAATCACTCTTGACGAATGATCTGTTTGAAAAAACAAAAAAAAGGCTAAAACCCACCTATAAGTCCTCAAAAAGGCTTATGGCCTGACCTAAGATAGGGTAGCCTCCCCTCCTTTAAACTTTTGAGAAATTATGATTTCAAAAAAAAAAAAGTGAGTATATCAAATAAATTGGTAAAATGTAATTGTTTAGGAAATTTTAGAAATTTAAAACGAAATTAGGAGCTATTTATTATCGGGCATATTTTAGCATCACTTGTTATATTTTTAGCTCCGTCCCTTGGAACTCGATTTTAATCTTACTTTGTTCTCTGTAACTCAAAAGTAGCAATTTTACTCCCTGAAACTCAAAATTCACTTTACTTTGCCTCCTGAAACTCGATTTTGAACCTAATTTGCCCCTTGAAACTTGAAAGTCGTCTCTATAAAACTTAAAATTGCTCCACATTGTCTTAGATCTGTTAATTTCTTATATGAGTTTGATTTGGGTGAGCCAGGCTAATCAATTTTTTTTAATTTTATTTTTCATCTCTTCAATTTCTTTTAAACTTAATATTCTCCGATTGTTGAATGTTTACACATAATGGAGATTTATAACAAAATTTATTGCACGTGTAACATAATCTTATTGGGAGTTGGATCCCACATATGTTTTAGGAGGCGATCTATAAGTTTATGGGAGAAGAGAGAACCCACAAGTCAAGTAGAACGAATTTTGAGCTTAGAGGAGTAAAGTAATGAATTTTGAGTTAACAGAGAGCAAATTGAGATTAAAATGAAGTTCTAGGGGGCGTAGCTATAAATAAGGGTTAGTTTGGGGTTACTGTGCTGTAAAAAAAAAAAGCGTTGTTTTTAGAAGTAGAGGTACAACTACTTCTGCTTTCTACTGTTTTAGACCCATAATTTTGACAAAAAACAATTTTTTTTTTTCCATTTGCCAAATACAATTTTAACCTCAGCTTTAAAAAAAAATTGCTTTTAAAATAATTTCAGCAACTTAAAAACTATTCTCCCACAAGTGTTTTATTATAAACGTGTCAAACTTTTATTAAATTTTTAAATGCTTGTTAGAAAAATATTTGGAGGAAACATTTTCTCGTTTCTTGTAAAAGCACATATGAAACACTTTTTTATAGTCTGAAAAATGCTTTTAACCATTCCAGAAACAATATCAAACAAGACTTTTTGATACTGGATCACATGGCTCATATTCTTGCATATCTTCATCACAATAATTGGGGAAATAGTAGGCCTAGAGTCCTTGACGATTTGAGAATGGAACCCAGAAGCTCGCCTCAAATGTTTATTAGAACTCAGAGGATTTTGCTAGAAATAGTCGCTCAAGCGCATATAGCAACCGAAAGTCATGAGCGCGTGAGATACCATATGAAGTATGTTTCTTACTTGAAATACAAAGAATCCATGGTCTACAACTTCACACTCTAATGTTGACATACCTGGAAAATGGTCATTGTTCTGACGGCTATACAGTTTCAAAGTAAAAATCCAATATTTTCAGTAAACCTCAGCATCAATTAATAAAGAATGTCATTGTTCTGACGGCTATACAGTTTCAACGTAAAAATCGATGTTAATATAACTTTCATTTCTATAGATCTCTAAACACTGAACTATGCGTGTAATTAAACCAGTTAAACTGCATGATCGTTGTGTGTGATAAAAGAAGTTGAAGAAATACCACTACAAAGTTCTGGAAATTCATGATTCAGAATCTGCTTGCAATGAAGGTTGATCTTATGTAGGCTTAAGCTTTCACTTTATTTAACAACACCGAGTTTCCGTCACCAGATGGACGAATGATCTGGGAAATAAGCTTCTCCGGCAGCTTTTTAGAGGCCCGCAAAGGATATCAACATAGAGGTGAATCCAAAAACTCATTAAGCTCCTTATATGTAGTGTAATATATTTACTGTCCTGAGAAACTAACCTGGAAGTGCCTCATGTGCAGTATTGGTTCGCACCCAACATCCGCTATTGACTTCCCATTGGGAGTTTGAAGTTTGAATTGGCTGGCCTCATATGCGGAAAGGGTATTATTCGTCCCGGCAGGCAGGTGGTGGCAAACTTTCAGGAGGGAGGTGAGAGAATTCATCTGACAGTTTACACGAAAGGCTATGTGAGAAACCTTAGCTCAAGCATGTCCTAATCATCAACTTTAATTTATTTCTTTATCTATACTGATTTAATTTGTAATAAGAATTGCCATGACAAACTGTTACAGAAGAGAACCCGGTATTAACTATTCTTGCAACCATACTTTCTGAGAATATCCTTTACTCCTACCAATACTTGTAAAAAATATTTTCAGATGTCTTTCAGGATTTCATCATCCAATTACACGGTTATGTAACAATACAACAAGCATGCATCATAAAAAGAAGACCCTGCGTTGAACATTGCCGCTGTTACGAGGGACCTGAATACTACGCCAGGGCTAGTGTTTGTTTTGAGATACATTGCAGTCTGCAGATGCTACAGCCAATGTAACACACATGCATGTACCATATTTAGACATGCGTTAGACTGGATAATTTTGTAACAGTTTGGTTATCTCAGACATATAGCATGCTAGAATATTTAAGAATGTATTAACCTTTGTAAACTTATCGAAGTCAAACTCAAAATAGGAATGCTAACCTTCATGTATGGGCAGGATGCACAGCTACCGTTAATGGAACATCTCTCCCCACTGGAAACTCCAGGTATAACAGGTAGTATGACATCGCCTAGTTTTACAGAGTTAAGGCCTGGGGAAGAACTTGATGCTGTTACTGAGTCTGATGAAACTGGAAATACAATTTCTACATTAATTTCTGCTCCTCCAGATCTTGCAGAACCTAACAAACTACGAACTGCTGCAACAATTGAAGTCACCATTCCGGATTCTGTTCCCAACACAAACTGAAGCTGCTCATTGACATTTCTATCCAAAGCCTCTTGAATCCTCTGTTTTATAAAATCTAGTATGTTCTTGGTAGAACCCACAACCCCCATTCCTCTTCTCTTTGCTTCCATTGCCAATGAGAACATCTCTCCTGGGACCTCAAAATGGGCAGTTAGATATGCATCACGGTACATTTCTTTTATCCTGTCGACAACTTCATTTCCAAATAAATGATGCACTATGCATGTCCCGTCCTGATACAGTAGAGATAAATAAGTAGTGAGAGGACCATCATCAGAAAATGCAAGGAAAACTGATTTTCGACGCTATGAAATGAATTTATGAATAGCACTAAAACAAGCCATGAAAGTACACGTACCTGAAAATAATGTAGGCGAGGTAGCAAAGATCTGATTGAGTCTCTATTATGTTCTGGATGTATCTCAGCAATTGCTTCATCAGTCATCTTAGTCATCTGCTGGAGTAATTCTCTAATATTTGCACCCATGTAGGAATCAGGCCCGTACCATATGTTTGCATCTGGCACTTGAACAAAAGCCTGCAGAAGACAAGGAACTCCACGTTAGCGAAAGTACAATAGCCAAAAGAAAAAAAAAAAAGTGCCAGTTGCATTTGGAAAGAGACATTGGGGAATTCCAAAACAATTAAGATAAATGGTTCTGATCCCACCAACCTGCAAAATGGTTTGGACAACATTTGAAGAGGCATTTCCGCATCGGCATCTTCGAGTCCTTTCGGTGTAGAACCCATTCTTTTAATAATTCAATTTATATTATTCCCTTTAGTGTTCTAGTTAGTTGTATATTCTGAACACGTTCCTCATTTGCATAATTAATTATATTTAAATTTATAAGTCTTATTTATTTCTTGTTCTCATGCATTATAATATGGCTTCATCACCTTCGGGTGTCAGCTAGCACTTTCCTACCCTAGTGTTCGGGAAATATCAAGGTTGGGCATGTCACATGTCCTTGTTTTTCTTGACGTTGGTAGTGAGTTTTAAGTGTCTTGTTTTGCATCCTTGTCATGTTTTGGGTTGTTTTCTGATGTAGCATAGAAATGTCATCGCCTATGCTCCCGAACATCTCAAAACTCATAGAAAGACTTATCCTATTATTGATCTAGAGCTGGTAACCCCTTGCTGTAAAATTTGGTGACTTTTTCTCCACAAAAGAAGTGTGCATCATTTATGACCAAAGAAGTTGTACTGTGTTTTCACACGGAAATAGTTGAGTTTAAGACAGAAAAGGTGGATGGAACTCATTGGTGATTTTGATTGCAATTTTTAGTATAATCTTGGTCAGGCAAATGTCATGGCTGATGCTTTTAGTCATAAATCCCATGGACAACTTACCTCAATTCGAGCTATCCATGTCCCACTATCGTTTCCTTGTCAAGGAATTGGCTTTACCTTGGCATTCGTTCCACAATGAGTATTGTCGGCTCACTTCTAAGTCAAACTTGTATAAATAGATTTCGGGTAAGAAGCCCAAGAGTTTAATCAATAATGCGTGAGTTTGATGGAGCAAGTGTCAGATGACATGAGATGGGATTTGAAAGTCCAAGGAATGGGAACTCTGTTGATAAGAAACAAGTTGTTTTTGCCTAAGGTAATGAAGCTGTGAAAAAGAAAGATTCTTGATGAGGCTCACATTTCAGCATATGCCATGCATGCTGGTAGTACTAAATTGTACCACTGTTTTCGTCCATTTTATTACCGGTATTGTATGAATGAGATATTACTGAATATATGAGGAAATGTCTAATTTACTGGTAAGTGGAAGCCGTGAGGTGGAAGTCGTCGGGCTTATCTAATTTCTTTTTATTCCTGTTTGGAAATGGGATGAATTTCCATGGTTATCCTTTTTAGGTTGTCGAGGACCCACTAGGGGATGCGAATGGAAATGGGCTAATGTCACTATAGATTTCCTGTACAAACCACTTTGTACATGTGGAGACTATGATGACGTCTCGGTAATTGTTATCAACTCACTCAGCATATTATTTACCAGTCCGTGAGGACTATACTTTTGACCGCTTGGCATAATTCTTCATTCAAAATTTTGTTGGACGACTTCTCAATTAACATCGATTCTGATCGTAATCCCAGATTCACCTCATGGTACCAGAAGACATTCTTGTTAACCTTAGGTTCGTGTTTACCCTACAACAGATACACCCCGATCTTATTGTCCGAAGGACAATGGGATGGTCACGTGCTGGCCGATACCTAAGGGTGATGCAAGCCATTTCATGAGTGCATATGCTGAGAACATGTAAAACATGAATATAAATTTTGCGTGTAACTACAGGCGGAAGATATTTATATATGGCTTCGGTCGAGTGATGTAGTGCTTTTGGTCGGAAGATATTTATATATGGCTTTGATCAAATGATGTAGTGGCTTCGGTCGGGTGATGTAGTGGCTTTGATCGGAAAATATTTATATTTGGCTTCGGTTGGGTGATGTAGTGGCTTCGGTTGGAAGATATTTGTATATTTGGCTTCGATCGGGTGATGTAGTGGCTTCGGTCAGAAGATATTTATATATTTGGTTTCGATCGGGTGATGTAGTGGCTTCAGTCAATTATGATAACACTACTAAGCATAATATATAAGATATATGTTTTATGAAGGTTTTATGGCATGCTAGGGTTTTTGGAATACCTATTACTTATTATGCTATATGAGTTTTCTAAACTGGGGGTTAGTACGTTTAATGAATAAATGTTTTGGTACTACTTATATATAAACTTGGTCCACTCATGTTTTGTTTTGTGCCCCCTCAGGACTTAGAATTAAGGCGTTCAATCCTGGCATCAAGGCACTCCCACATCAGTATCTTAGAGTCTTCTCGATGTAGGAACTTTTACTTTGTTTGTACATTTTTATAATATTCCTTCTAAAATGTTCTGGATTAGTTGTATGCTTTAAACACGTTCTATAATTGCATATTCATTATAGTTAAATTTACAAGTTTTATTTATATTCATTCTTTCTTTATAGTTATCATGCATGTTAGTATGGCTTCGTCATCTTCGAGTGTCGGCTAGCATTTGCCTACCCTGGTGTTTGGAGGATATCAGAGTCGGGCGTGTCACAACCCTCCATTACAAAGATTATTCACGACCCACCTAAATTTCTTCAAATGATTTAAGGGGATATTTGTGGACCTATCGAACCAACGTGTTGACCATTTAGATACTTTATGGTGTTGGTTGATGCATCAACACAACAGTCACATGTATGCTTATTGTCCACACACAATGCTGCATTTGCAAAACTCCTAGCACAAATGATTAAGCTTAGGGTTCACCACCCTAATTATCCGATCAAGTCGATTTAACTGGATAATGTTGGAAAGTTTAAGTCACAGACCTTTGACTATTATTGTATGTCTGTTGGGATTGAAGTTAAACATTATGTACCCCATGTTCATACCCAAAATGGCCTGGTGTAAGCTTTCATAAAGCGCATTCAATGATAGCTCGGACTTTAGTTATGAGAACCAATTTGCCGATATCTGCCTAGGGTCACACAATATTGCACGCGACTATGTTGGTCCGTTTGCTACCCACCGCTACCCAACCTTATTCACCGTTACAGTTGGTTAATTTATACGAGCCTGACGTCTTACATTTACATGTGTTTGAGTGTGCAGTCTATGTGCCAATAGCGCTGCCACTACGTACCAAAATGGGTCATCAGAGAAAAATAGGAATTTATGTCGGTTATGATTCACCATAAATTATACGCTACTTAGAGCCATTGACAGTAGATCTCTTTACCACACGTTTTACGGATTGTCACTTTGATGAGATAGTCTTCTCGTTGTTAGGGGGAGATAAGATCACTAACGTTCCTGTAGAACGCTGCAAAATATTCTGAATTACTCCCACTATGTCTCATTTAGATCCATGTACACCTTAGTTTAAAACTAAAGTGTGACACATTCTAAATCTTTAGAGCTCAAAGCATACCAGATGATTTTACTGATCTAGCAAAGGTGACGAGATCACATATACCTGCTGCAAACGCACTTGCAAGGATGGACGTACCGACCGTACACAGTAACACCGCCATGGAAGGACGAACCGTTCCCTAGGGTGGGGCAGCCGCACCTCCCACATGGTATGGCACACTGGTGGCTAGCTAATCACTAGCAGTTATCCAATCACCTACTCATACCCTGAAGCATGGCAGACCTTCTGGTTCAAAGGATTCACAAGCCCGGAATAGGAAAACGGCAAAAATTAGTGAACCTAGTATGAATTCGACCATTCCTTACTCATCTATTCCAACGCATGAGGTTATTCTAGATTACAGTGATGTTTTAGATGAAACATACTGGCCTTTTGAGAATCGCTAGATTTCAGTCCATTACTCCGTATTGGATGAGGTTTAGAATCAGAATGAGATGATATGCGATGATGCATTCGTGTATACCCTTGCTTTTGACATCATGCTTAGCGATGACATTGAACCATGCTTCGTTGATGAATGTCGACGTAGAACGGATTGGTCAAATTGGAAACAAGCAATCCAGGTCGAACTCGATTCGCTTGCGAAATGAAAGGTGTTTGGGCATGTAGCTCTTACCCTACCACATGTGAAGGCCGTGGGTTACAAGTGGGTTTTTGTGAGGAAGCGTAATGAGAATAATGAAATAGTGCGGTACAAAGAACGCCTCGTAACACAAGGCTTCTCTCAAAGCCTTGGGATTGATTACGAAGAGACGTATTCCCTGGTAATGGATGTCATAACATTTTGCTATCTTATCAGTTTGGTAGTTTCTGAAAAACTAAATATGCAGTTTATGAATGTGGTAACTGTGTATCTTTATAGGGATTTAGATACGAAAATGTATATGAAAGTTCTAGAAGGACTTCCATAGACTGGTTCAAATAGTTCTAGACTATGGAACACTCTCTTGATTAGGTTGAAGAGGTCACTCTATGGATTGAAACAATCTGGGCAGATGTGGTATAACCGTCTGAGTGAATATTTGACAAGTTAGGGTTATGTGAACAACGAACTATGCCCATGCGTGTTCATTAAGAAGTCACATTCCGGATTTGCAATCGTTGTAGTTTATGTCGGCGACATGAACCTTATCCGAACTCCCGCAGAGCTTAAGGAAATTGTCACGCACTTGAAATTGGAATTTGAGATGAAAGATCTTGGGAAAACTTGATATTGTCTCGGCCTGGAGATCGAGCATTGTTTGGATGAAATCTTAGTACATCAATCGAACTACACCCAGAAGGTGTTGCGAAGTTTTAATTAGGATAAAACGAAGCTTTCGAGTACTATTATGGTCGTTCAGACTCTAGATGCTAAACAAGATCCTTTCCGTTCGAAGGAAGATGATGATGATATTTAGAGCCTGAAGTTCCACACCTAAGCGCAATTGGTGCTTTATTGTACTTGTCTCAATGCACTAGACCCGACATCTCCTTCACCGTTAATCTTTTGGCTAGATATAACAAAACGCCTACACGTAGACACTGGAATGGTGTTAAAGAAATTTTCCTCTACCTCAAGGATATGATGGATTTGGGGTTGTTCTACACCCATGAATCCTCGAGATGAGTCGCCACCCCCTCTATCCTCGAGTTAATTCACGCCTCGTTGGTTATGCAGATGTTGGTTATCTGTCTGACCCATATAGGGCACGTTTTCAAACGGGTTATGTCTTTATCGTTGGAGACACAGTTATATCTTTGATGTC